AGTCACCAAGTTAGACCATTCAGTGAGCAAAAATATTTAAATAGAAAGCACCAAACTGATTTGTAATTCATTTCTCTTATAGTATATAACAAAATTCATATTAGTAACAATTCGAAATAACACAAAGCTTTCTTTCAATATCGAATTCTTCAAAAACCTACTTGTATATTACTTCTAAAAATTTATACCAAGAATTTTGTAACGCTTTTGCGTTTTTTACAATGGTTAAAGCCTGTAATCCAAGTATGAATCGGCAAGATTTAATGGATACTGCAAATAACGAATAGCGAATATGTTGAACTGAATCTGAAACAACCATTAGAGACCAAATTAAACAATATTTTGCAGCAAGCCTGCCTATTATACGAACAGCTAACTTTTTTCTACCACCTGGTTTATATAGTTCTAGATCTTCAAATTTTTTAAATACAAACTCAAACTCAAATTCTGCAGTTTCTTCATTGCTTTCAGCTAATAAAGAATATATTCTTGCTTCTAATGCATCATCTCAATGTCAAGCTTTAATCCTAATTAAAGAAGCTGTAACTAAAGTAAATAAATACAAAAATTTATTGCTAAATACTAATGACATAGATCTTAGGTATCAGATATATGATAAGTTAAAGGATAGTTATGCCATTATTAAAAAGAAAAAAAAACATATTAGTTTATTAAAAAGCCATGCTAAGTCTCAAGCAAAACTTTGAGAAAAAAAAAGAAAAACAACTTAACGAAGAAGGCATTGCCGTAATATATAATACTAGTGATGCCTATCTGAATTTCAAAAAAATCCTGAATTGCTTAATCAAATATATGATTGTGTTGAATTTGGTGCAGCAGAAAAAGACTGTGATTAAAGTTCACACAATCAAATACTTAAAGGAAGCATTACAAAAAAAGTATAATGTTTATCTCACAAAACTAACTCTTTTAACATATCTTCTACCCCGACATCCCAATTCACGTCAAGCAAAGTGCCACCATTATCCTGCACAAATTAAAATAAGTGCTATTTTTCATTCTGAAATAAAGTTTTATGTGAATGAACACTACTGTCTTGCGTCGGTTAAAATGGTTAGAGAGTTTGCTGCAACTTTTGCTAACCATAGCCTTATCATCTCACAAGATAATAAAGCTAAGGTTGGTTTAGGTGTGTTAGCAGTTGGTAGAACTTTTAAAAGTATCCAATTGCTTAGTGAATCTATTACTGTCTCTGATTATAATTTTCTATATAGAGCTAAACAAAAACTTATATCTTTGGTTTATCTTCTTATCAATCCTGAAAATGCAAATAAAACAGTACATCAAGGTCAATTATCCATCTATATTCGGCCAGAGTATTTTGTAGAAACTTTATCATTATCTCATATGAGAGATTTAATTGAGATTTCAAAGTGTGATGATTTTGCGCTAATGTTGAAATATAGTGACTATATAAAGTCTATTTGGTTCTTGTTAGTTGATGGGGGGCCTGACGAAAACCCAAAATATTTGAAAAATATTGTTGAATATTGTTGTCTTTTTCATAAACTTGACCTTGATTATCTTTCTGTTAGAATGTATGCCTCTTATCAGTTAGCTTACAATCTAGTAGAATGCAGTATATGTATGCTTTTCAAAAAGCTAGCTGGAATTGAACTCCCAATTAATAAGTTCGATTAGTGTTAATAATATAGTTGGCTCTCTTTATAATGATAGGCGGTTCTTTTGGTAAAAAA